TACTTAAAGATGTCTCTTTTTGGTAATGACAAATGTGTTTTTTTTAAAGGTCTGGTTTTTCTCAATACACCTTTAATGGCTTTTAAATTGTTTCATATCTGGTCAAGTTGAGATTTTTAAGAACTTCATTTTTAATTTGTAAAAAAAGTTTACAACTTGATTTTTTTTTAAAAAGTCAACAAACTGCAAGCACCTGTTAATAAAGGTCTTAAATAATAGTGGAAAAAGAAAAAAGAAAAAAGAGAAACCCATCCTGACCTGGAGCCCAGAATTAGGGAAGAATGGCTCAGATAAGGCCAGTGAGCGAAACACAGTTTAGCTCAGATCAGAGTCATCTCTGCCCCTGTCCAACTGATTTGTGAAACCAACCAATGACAGAGCAGGACAGCAGAATCCTGGCCCTAGGGCCCAGGACCAGGGAAAGAAACACAACCTGTGTTTGAGACCTGAGCCAGAAAAATGAACACTTTATCCCCAAACCCAGAACCCAGGAAATATGCCCCGACTCTGAAACTAGTACCAAAATAGCACTCTTGGCCCCTAGAATCAGAGTCAGTGAAAGAAATATGCTCTGGCCTTAGAGGTAGTGTCAAAAAGCCAAGAAAGGCCAGTGAAAGAAATACAGTTTGGCCCTGAAATCAGGGCCATCTCTACCCCTTGCCCACAAAACTGTCCAATCCCTGGGCAGAAAAAAAAAAAAAAAAAAAAAACTAACCAATCACAGTTGATGCTGCCCCCTAGACATCCTATATAAACTGCCCTGTCCGGTCAGTTGTGAGCTCTCTCCACCCTGGTTAGAGGCAGCTACTCTCCTGGACTCCTCCTTCCCAAATAATCCTCTTTCTCTAAAGAGTTTTGGGTGAAGATCTTCATTCACTGGTGACAGAAGAACCTTGCTGGGACATCCCATAGTAGATTGAGCAAGGGGGAGCTGAACAGAAGAACCTTGGTAAGATGTCCCATACTGGACTGAGCCAAGAGAGAGCTGGTAACACTGAGCCAGAGATTGTGGCTCTCCAGGAGAGGAGCAGGATTGCTGTGTCCTGCTGGGAGAATATCCGCCACCACACCAGGTATATCCCTGACTTTCCTGAAGAGTCAGGATACCCTTCCTTGCTGAAGTAGTTCCAGGCCTGACTCTCCCAAGAAGTCAGAAAAATTTCCTTTCCAAGGTTGGGCTGTTTCTTTGCAGTCCCAGACATCAGAATTATGCTAAACAGCTCCAGGTGTCCAGGACACCTTCAGGGCAGAGCTCTTGTTCTGAGTAGCTCTAGGTGTCTGGGATACCTCGCCCTCTAGGGCTGAACTGTCTCCTTGCAGTTTCAGCCATCAATTTACTAACATTTTGGTGCCAAAACCCGGGACACCAAACCCAGAGTTTTTGCAATTTACTAACATCTAGAGTAAATGCTGTTGTGGTTATAGAGAAAGGCTCTCCAAAAATAGCCCCATGTGGGACCTACACTGGGCTTTGTATGGACCTTAACCACCAGAAAGGCTTTGAGCTCCTACCATGCAGATATGTCCATACTTTGGAAACTGCAACCAGACTTGGTCACCTACAAAGTTCATGGTCACCCCATAATGGAGTCAAAAAGTGGAATGAACTTT